TGACCAATATGATGCGCGCGGGATGGCACAGCACCCCGACGGGAATTTCATCGCGGTTGGCTTCTCAGTCGGAGCAGCGCCGGGATCAGCATACAGAGTTCTTTGCAGCAGCTGAACCAGTCTACACATGGGCGCAGATGGCTTCGGATCGAGCGTTACCGTGGGATGGCACGGGGCAAGCTTTTCGGAGTCAGCGTAGTGGATTGGGGCCTGTGCCGTCTTGGAATGATGTCGCTGGTCCTGCAGGCGCTGTATGGAACGTACTCCATCAACTCGGTTGGCGCGCGCAGTCGGCATTTCAGTGGACCATGGCGCGGGGAGTTCAACTAGATCTCAGAGACGACCCACCTGACTGGGTCCATACGCTTGCCAGGAGGTCCTTCGCAAAGTATAAGTGGGAGAAGAGTGGGCTCCAGAGACAGACGCTCCTGCACGCAAGGCATGTGGCTACTGGCCCGCCCCTCTCCAACTTCTGCTCGCCACGAGCGACCAGATTTGCAGATGGAGACTCTCTGCGCGTGCGCGGGCAGCGCTTCGCGGCACCGTCATCGGAGGTCAATGGTCACAGGCGCGGCTGCGCAAGTTCGGATACTCGGCCACTGATGAATGCATGTGCCGCCATGGTTGCAAGGGGACACTTCATCATGGACTTTGGTGCTGTCCCAACCTGGCTGAGAAGCGAGCACTGGCAGTTGATCAGGATATCATGGACGAGGCGCGATGCGCCCCTGAGAGCGACATGCTTTTCACGAGAGCCCTGCTGGAGCGAGATCAACGACAAGTCGTGCCTCCACCAGCTGCTGAGGAGATCTGGTACTGCGCGCACGGTGGCCGACATCATCAGATCACGGTCGAGGTCTATACCGATGGCGCAGGCCGCACTCACATTGGCTGGCCTGAGGGTGCGCGCGCAGGGTGGGGGCTGGCCCTCATGGGCGACCAGACGTTGAAAGGCTGTGCTTCCGGACCACTACCTGGAGCTCAGCAGCCGGTGCCAAGAGCGGAACTGTGCCATCGGCATGACGCTCAGGAGCGGCATTCTCCCGTTCCGCATTCACACCGACTGCGCGATGACGATCGACGGGATAAACAATGGCAAGTTGTGGTGCCTGCACCCTCGTCGCGCACACGTCGTTCTATGGAGACTCCTCTGGCATGCGCTGGAAGATCATGGAGGCCGCGCCGACGTGCTCACCATCGAGCATGTGAAGAACCACCAGACGCAGGAGGACAGCAGGCACTACCATGGCAAGAAAGGCAATGCTTGTTCAGATGTGGCCGCCAAGAAGGGGTTGGCCAAGCGCGACATCCCACCTGCAGCGCGCGCTTGCACCATGAGCTCTTGGGCCGAGTGCGACAGATCGCGGCGTGGATCGGCAGCGCGCAGGAGCTGGCGGAGCACGGGCCTGACAGGGCGCCGACGACTGCCCGCCGACCTCGACGACATCAGCGACCGCGA